TCTGAGTGCTCGAGCGTGTCCGTGACCGTACTGATATGTAGTCCCCGTGCACCAAGATCTAGATCTCCCATGCCTCCATCCCTGTCGAGAGTCTCTTGTTGCACATCGGGGGCGTTGGGGAGACGGTGGACCGGTTGTGCTTGGGGGGGATGGGCGGGGAGTCCAGGGGATGCTTCCAGGAACGTTGGCATCGCAGCCACTCGCGGTGGTGCAGTGCCTTCTGCATGCCCGGGCGGTGACCGAAGAGTGGGCACGCACTGTGCTGACAAGAATGGAACCCCGTGAGCAGGGTTGCTGGTCCGCCACCGCGGAGGCGGAGCACCAAGTGTATCGTGGCGTACTTATGGATTTGTAGTCTGTGAGCGTGCGGCTGTCCTCCAGCTGTTTACTGCCGTAAACCAAGCGTGTTGGTCAGGTAAGATGTCCTCGGAGTCCTGGAAGCTCGCTTTCACGTCCTCGATCGTGTAGCTGGCCGCCACGTTGAGCACGATGGTCTTCTCCGCCAGCGTCATCACTTTCTAACCAGCACGAAGACTGCCCAGTGGCGGAGGGGGGACAAGCAGGGGGGGGGGTGGGGGGGGAGGGGGGTAGGGTGCGGCGGGCGCGCGGCCCGCACCCGCGCCTGCGGCGGCGCCGCCAATGCAATTAATTAGCCAGGCGCCTCGGGCGCGCCGGGGCGCGCGGCGAGCCGCGCCCGCAGCGCCGCCCGCCAGTCGGCCTCGGCGCCACCGGCGCGGGCCGCGGGCAGCAGCAGCAGGCCCGCCGCGCGCGGCGGCAGCGTCTGCACCCAGCCGGCGCACGGCCGGCTCGCCAACCCGCGCCACTGCTTGGCCCACCCGCCGCAGCGGAGGCAGACGACCCATCCTGGCCCCAGGGACGCCGCGCGCGGCCGCCAGGCGTGGCCGGCGAACAGCGAGCGAACCGGGAGCTCCACGAACGCTAACACCCTCTGCACCGCAGCCAGCGCGTCGAGCTGCCGCTGCCGCTCCTGGCGCAGCGCGGTCGCAGGCATCCGGCCCTCGGCGGCCAGCCCCGCCAGGCGGTCCGCTTCTGCGTTGCCCGCGCGGTCCTCCCCGGACATCCCGCATTCGCTCGCCTGGTCGGCGTCGAGGTGCGCCTTGACCCAGCGGGCGCGCAGCACCCCGCTGCGGCAATGCGGGGCGATCGCCTCCCGCAAGTCTGCGTGCGCCCAGTCAGCTGGGCTGGCGCCGCCCCGGAGCGCTGCGACCCCGCGGCTGACGAAGCGGGAGTCAGTGACCACCTCCACGCAGCCACCCGCAAAGTGCAGCGCCTGCACGCAAGCCCAGACCTCTGCGCGCTGGGCGGTTTGCGCTGCATCGACGGCGCCATGGCGGTCCACGTGGCCCCCGGCGCCGCCCTCGAGGTGGACGCCCCAGCCAGCTCTGGCGAGGAGGTGGTCGCCCGGGCGCACGCAGGAGCCGTCCGTCCAGGCGCGTGATGGCCTGCGCTGTGGCGCAGCCGGGAGGCCGGCCAGCGGGTCGGGGAGCGCGGGCAGCGGCAAGGGCACCTCCGCGAGGACTGCCAAGCGAGGGTTCCGGTGCAAGACGCACGTGCGCGCTGCCTCGGGAGGTAGGCAGGCGCGGGCGGCCTCCGCAGTGAAGCCCTCTGGCTGCAACGCCGCTCGGCGCTGGGGCTCCCAGCGCGTGCAGGTCCACATGCGGTGCTCGAGATCCTCCACAGGCGCGCCGCAGTGCGGGCAAGCTGCAGGCCGCCCCCACTTCGCTGCAACGGACTCGGTGATCACGTTGCCCGCGAGCACCGCGCGCAACGCCCCCGCGGCGTCCGTCGCCAGCGAACCGCTGGTCAGGAGCCGCCTCGTTGCCCAGCGGTCGACGCCAACGTCGACGTGCCGGAAGTCAGCGCGCCTGCTGGCCAGCCGCCGGGCCTCGCGCTGGGACCAGGCCTCCAGTAGCACCGACCGCGTGTCCTGCAGGGGCATCTGGGCGGGGCGCCAACCCCCGGGCGCGGCCGGCACGCCAGTCCAACGCTCGATGTCGGACCCGAGCTGCAGATCTGTCAAGCTCTGGAGCGCGGCCGCGACCGGCCCGGCGACGCGGCCGTGCCCAGCGGCCAGGGCCCCAGCGGTCTGCCTCCACACCTCGGCGGGAAACCGGCCGTGCTGGAGGCATTTCGCAGCCTGCCACAGCGGCGCGATCATCACCACCGCCGCCGGGTCCAGCCTCCAGCTCGGGGCAAGGACGCCGAAAACGATTTCGGCGGCAGCGCGCAGCCCCCCGCGGCAGACCGCCCGGCGCGCAGCCGTGCGGAGGCCAGCGAGCTCATTCGCCGGCGGCCGCCAGCGTCTTCACAAAGATCTGCCTTCTCCCAGGGGGCTTCCTTGTGGTCGGGTTGGTGCGGCGGGGAGTTGTCCTACACCTTGTGGTGACGTTGCCGTCGGAGCTGGCATCCACGCTGCGTCTCTGAGTGGCGTCAGTGCCATCGTGAGTGCCGAGGTGGGCGTTGGCGTCCAGGCTGTCATGGATGCCTGCTTTGGTGCGAACGCCAGCGATGTCGTGTGCGCTGGCGTGGATGCCTGGGTCGGCATTGATGCTTGGATTGACGTTGAAGTTGGCTTCCAATTTGTCGAGGGTGCAGGTGCTGATAGGGACTCCAGCGCCCGCGTCGGGGTCGCTGTCCACCCGCTCCGTTGGATCATGCTGGTTGTTGTGGTGTTGCGCGTTGTCGATGTGCTGGCCGCGGTGGTCTTTCTGGCCGCCCTGGTCGTGCCCTGAGCTGCCCTGGCTATCACTGGTCACGAGGATTTGGGCAACGTGCACGTTGCCGTCGTGGACGCTGTCGTCAGAAATTCCTTCCGTGCTGTTGTTGGTGGTGCCCAGGACGTCGTAGGTGTCGGCGTCGGTGTGGGTAATCGTGGTGATGGTCTCGACGTGGTGATCGTGGTCGTCGTGATTGTCGTGGCCGGCTCTATCCTCGTCGTCGCCGTGGATGTCGTGATCATCATGGACCTGGAGGTTGGGTAGAAATTAGTCCCGAGCAGGCACCTGATGCAACAAATGGGAGGCCCTCAAAAGAAATATGACCCATTCCCGAGGGCAGTAAATGCTGCCATCCCAATTTCTAGTTGTCGGTACACGAATCGCCCAGTCCCAAACCACCTCCCTCGGACGTCCCGTGTCATGTTGTGCCAGCCGCTCTGCACCAAGAAGGGAGCGGAGAAATGGGTATAACTCCGTCCAGAGTGTCCGAAGATGGCGGTGCTGGGTGTGGGAGCCATTGGAGTCCGGAGGAGTAAGAGCGGTTGCGGCACAACCCTTCACCAGGAGCTCTTTTGCAAGTGGTCGATGTTGTATGAGGCCGCCCGTGACAATATCGATCTCGATGTTGCACAGCAGGCGAAGAGTAGATCACGGCCCCAAGCCCAAGCCACACGACCGAGTAGGTCGGCGATCCCCGCGCCGATGTCGGAGTGGATATCTTCGGTCGGTGCGTCCAGAGCGTTGCCGTCGAGATCGAGCGCGTCCAGCCCGACGTGGGCGTAGTCACCGTAGTGGTCGTGGTCGATGCGGTCGTCGCAGTCGGCGCAGTCGTGGCCGCAGGCGTCGACGAGGTCACTGTGGTCGACGTGGTCGTTGGAGTCCGCGCAGTCGTCGTAGTCGACGACGTGGTAGACGTAGTCGACGTGGTCGTGGACGTGGCTGGAGGCGTAGTTGCGGTCGTGGTGGTAATCGAGCTCGAGACGGGGTCTCACCAGTGTAGGCGCCTGCCTGGAAAGGATCCCAGAGATCTTGGCCTTCCTCGCGCGCCGAACCCTCCGCCTCCTTTTCCTTCTCGTTATCCGCTTCCTGGTGCTCGTCTGGTTCCTCTTCCCTCTCCTGCTGGTCCTCCTCTGGGTCCTCGGTCTGGTCCTCATCTTGCACCCCTTTGTGATCCTCCTCGTCCTGAATCTGATCAGCTGTATTGCTCTGGGCGTACTCCTGGTCCCTGGTCCTGTTGCCGTAGTCTGGTTCCTCCGTCAGTCGGGTGAGGGTATTGACGTGGTGGTTGTGGTCGAGGCTGAGGGGGTAGTCGACGGACTGGTGGTATCCGAGGTCGGTGGCACCACCTCCGCCGGCCGGCATCCAAAGCGGTAGGGGGGGGGGCGACGCGGCAGCCATCGCGGCAGCTGCGAGGTAGTCAGGGAACGGAGCGGAAGTGTCGGAAGTGTCGGGGAAGCGGGAGGAAGAGTCGGGGTGCCTTGAGCCGCGGTGCCTTGAGCCAACTTACTCTGCATTCTGTGATCACTCTCGCCTGCTCTCGCAATATGCACTTCGATCCCTCTTGCGCAGTCCGATCCGATCCGACGAGGAGGAGGAGGAAGAGGAGGAGGAAGAAGAGGCGGAGGAGGAAGAGAGGGAAGATGATATGAATAGTGTCACAAATCGCTCAGGATGCCCTCCAAGAGTTCCGGATTATCTAGCGGCCCTCGTTTCTGCAGCCCGTGCGGAACATCAGGAAATCTGGTAAATCTTGGGACGTCCTGCTCATCCAAGAGAAAGGCAAACGAGGAAAGGATGGATCTCCGGGGCTCGCCGAGCCGCCTGGCGCCTTTAGGCCAGACGGCGCTCTGGTGATTCGGGTCGTGCAGAGCTGGGTGAGACGAGGGCACTCTGCCGGGCTGCTGGGCATGCTCTGCGCGGTGTTCGGCCGAGGCGGGCGGACGAGGGCCGAGAGGCCTCCGGGCCGTCGTGAAACCCACTGGGGGCGGGAGGCAGGTCGCAGGGAGGGGGATCGGGAGCTCCGGGGGACCGCGCAGAGGGCTCGCGCTGGCGAGGGTCTGGGAAGGAGGGATGGGGCGTTGCTGAAAGTGGTCCTGGCCCAAGGAGTCCTCAGCTTTTCGCGCCAGTTTGGAGCTCCTAGGGCCCTCTGGGCCTCGTGAGGAGGTCATCTGGGCTCCCAAAGACTCCTGGGGTCAATCCGGGCCAGGGGCACCATTGGCAACAACTCCATCGGCAGGCGTACGGCGCAGCAGCAGCACCCCTTCAGGGCTGCCTCGTCCAGAGCTTCACGATGTCCTCCCCGAGCACCTTCTCCGTCTGGCAGCCCTGGTCGCGCAGCTCGGGGGTGGCCTTATGGGCGGCGCGCGCAGTGGGTGGTGGGGGGGAGGGGGGGGCCTTCTTGACGGACAGGGCCCAGACGCAATCCCACCTTCAAAAAGGCCTCCGAGCCCCTTTGAGGATCTCCCCCCTGCCTTCTCAGGAAGGCCGCCGCCCCCCCTCCTCGGCCCAACCCCCCTCTGCACGCCGCGAGGGCCTGCACCGCGGCCTCCTGAGTGAGGTCGCGGGGCCTCGCCTTGCCGCAGCTCTTCACGCCCGCCCGAGGGCGGCTCGCCCACGCGCTGACCCTCTCGTCCCACTCCCGCCAAGGGGGGCCCTCCTTGGGGGCGCCCGCGTCCCAGATGTCGTCGCCCGCGGGGGCCATCGCGATGCACTGGCTCAGCCCTCCCTGCACAGCAGACAGCTGCTCAGCCCTGGCGGCCGCCCACGCATTGTGGGCGGCGTCGAAATACAAGAAAAGCCGGCCCGCGGCCTCGCCGGTGGTCCAGAGCGTGCTGCGGCCGAACACGGCCCACTCCGGGCCCCAGCGCTCCACGAAGAACGCGTTCAGCGCCGGGTCGCGGAAGCCGCCCAGCATGACGGCCCTGGGCAGCGCAGGGGCCGCGCTTGGACTCGACGGAGTCGCCGCCGTGGGGGCCCTCGGGCCCAAGCTCGCCGTCGACGGCTGCGCCCGCCGCGGCGGCACACCGTGCTGCCGAGCGGCGCCCAGGGCGGACACCTCGTCGTGCACCCTCAGCGGCACGACCGCCTCGTCGCTGGCAGAGCACGTGGCCGAGAGGCGCGGAGGGGCATCGGCTGGGGAGAACCAGCGCCGCTCCTGCCGCTCGGGCAGCAAGCTCGAGGCGCTCGATCCTCTCGCAGATCCGGCAGCAGCTACGCTCCCCTCGCCCCGGGAGGGGTCGTACTCTTGCAGCTCGGCAGGCACGGCGGGCCCGACGGCGGCTGAGCGCACGGACAGCCAGGAGGACTGCCTCAGGGCCACCTCGTCGGCCGCGCAGTCATACCCGCCAGTCGCGGTGTCCAGGGGCTTGTAGCCACAGCGGAGCGCCTGCCTCTCGCTCCACAGAACGGCCAGCCGCGACTCCACGAGGACACTGCCAAGTAGGAGGTATATGCAGGCGACGGCGTCCTGGGACTGCCACTGGATCGCGGAGAAGAAGGGGCACGCCACGCTCACTGCACCCAGGAAGCCGGCAAGCACCGTGGAGTGCACTCCCGCCAACACCATCGCAAAGCACGCGGCGACCTGGGGCAACATGAGAGGCTGGCACTCGCCGGCGACGAAGAGGATTGAGCCGTACATAGCGACCACCTGGGCGAGGTAGATGCCCGCGACCGCCACGTCCGCCCAGAGCAGCTCCACCATGCCGAACGAGGAGAAGATCCAGCCACCCATCGCCAGCATGATTGCAGTGCAACTATTGAGCATGACGAGGTCCGCGTGGCTCCGGTCCAGGACCAAGCCGACCAGGCTGGGCAACGGCAGCAGCGCCCACCAGAAGGCCCGCCTCCCGTCCCCGGACCGCAGGAAGTCGCGGTCCGTGGAGGAAGCCCACCACCTGCCCAGCGCGGCGCGCGGCCCGCCGCGAGAAGCCTTTGCGCTCCACAGGCTGCCAGTGTACCTGGCGTCCTCTTGCCGTAGAGCCAGGGGGGGGGTCTTGAATGCACGCGAGCCCTGGGCACCCTCGTGGCTCACCCGCGCAGCCTATTCACCCCCAAACGTTTTTTGACAGACATCTGCTGCCCTGGTTCCGCTTCGACTACGCTGAGCGACAGCCGGCGCCGTGACCAAGGGAAACTGAATCTGGCGGCCCGCTGCCGGCTGCACACAAGCGTAGATTGACCCTGGGCAAGGAGTGACCTTCCGTGCGCGGCGGGTCGATCGTTACGTACGATGCGTCAGTAGCGGCCTGCGTGCTCGGGTGTGGTCCACCCCCGCGCCCCTCGAAATTCGCGCACCAAATGTCACCCTGAGGAAGAATCGCTCTCTGGCGTATCCGACTCTGATGCGGAAGGGCCCCTGAAGGCCGAAAACGGCAACAATTATGAAGTTGCCATACAGGAAAGCGGCACTGAGGGAAACAGGTCCTGGACTCCTAGGCCCCGTGGTTTTCCCGAATCGCTCTTTAGGATGCACCGGGCCCCATGGAGCCCCCCCGGGCTCTCGGAAACGGCGGCTGACATCCAGGAACCCCTTCCTTCCGGCCCCGTTTCCCGTCACTGTAATCTGAAACCCTCTCTGGCTCGTGGCGATCCTCGTTCGCCTCCGCCCTGAGCAGGGTGCCGACGGACCCCCCGGTCGTCTTTGAGCGCATTGGACGTAACGCTGCTCACTTCCGTGACATCGCAACCGCCAATGGCCCCCGTGCTGGCTGCCGGACAAGGGCGAGAGCGGCCGCCGCCTGAGCCAGAGCGGGATGCGGAGGTGACCGAAGAGGGCGAGGGGAACGACGACGCACGCCTCCGAGGCCGAACTCGATATCTGAACGGACTGCGCGCCGTAGAGCCGACTTACACGGCCGAAATTGTCGTGCGCGCGCCATGTGAGGAACCGCAACTTAGATCGAATTACCTTCGACGGGGATGGGCCGGAGACCCCTCCAACACATACAAACATCGAAATCCTCTGCTGGAGCCCGGATCACCGACACGACCAATTTCTCGATCCCTGGCGCCGACAACTACACCCGGACACCCCCGCGACGGATCGGTCTCTGTCGGCCTGGGGGTCTGAAGCGGCCCCCTCTGCGAGGCCGCGAGACCGATGGTGAATAAACACTGAGATGTCATAAAGCCCATCAGCCCTCTGGGCGTAGGTGGTCTAGGGCGGTTACTCTTCCAACCCCTCCCTTTTCCCCTTCCGGGGAAGGGCTTACACCTCCCCCTGCACCATCCTCTGGACCTGGATGGGGGGGTCGCGAGGCGTTGGAGCGTCCAAGATGGCCCAAGATGGCCCCAAGAGGGCGTCAGAGAGCCCGAGATGATTTCCACGATGGCCCAAGATCGCCCAAGATGGCTCCAGATGGTTCCCAAGATGCTCCACTAGGCCCCAAGACCGCTCCAAGACGGCGCCAAGTGGCCATGGAACCCCCCCAGGAGGCCACCAAGAGGCCAACAAGTTTCAAACACCTGAAGAAAATCTATGAATTGAGCCTGCTCGCCTTTTCGCTTTCGACGGCCGTCCGAAGCTTCAAAACAGCTCCAAGGGGGCCCATCACGGCCCCGAGAGAAGACCAAGAGGACCCCAAAACGTCCCCAATAACGGTGCAAAAGCGCCCCAAGAAGGGAAGGAGCGATTTCTGGGGCTCCCGAAGGGGGGGGGGTCGGAATTGGAGTTCCCATGTTTTGTGTTCGGTCTCCTTCAAGAGGGCCCCCAACGCGCTCCCAAGGTTGCCAAGGGCGCGTCGGAGGCGCCCAGGAGGCCCCAATAAACGCCCAAGAGGCCGACGAAAAGGCCCCAAAGAGACCCCCAAGGGGCCGCAAGAAACTCCCCGATGCACCCAAGACGCTACAAAAGGCCATCGGGGCCGCCCAGAGGCCCCCGAGACGCTCAAGAGCCCCCCAAAAAAACAACTTCCAAGAAACATCCGAAGAGACTCTGACAGGCAACTCGCCTGGGCTTCGCATCTTGATGGCCTGGTGGGGACACGCGAAGCGTCAATACTTTTATTGTCGGAGGCATGGGAAGGCGACGAAGAGGATTTGGACGAGGAGGATAGAGAGGACAAGGGGAGAGGAAGTGAGAGGAAGGGGGGGGGAGGAGGAGGAGAAGGAGGAGGAGGAGGAGGAGGAGGAGGAGGAGGAAGAGGAGGAGGAGAATGAGGAGGAGGATTATTTTAAACATGAACCACTGCTGGCGAACAATAGCGGACGCCAGCCTGCTGAAACGCACCTCAAGCAGGGGAGAAGGACCGCCAGTCCCGCCCCAAGGCGGCGAGGGCGGGGAGTGGACTCCCGCGCCGCCCCGGGGGAGGCCACGGGACCTGGCAGCCCCCTGGGAAGGAGAACCCAGGCGCGGGGGCTTGAACCCCGAAGGCCCAGTGCCCCCCGCCTGCGCCAAGGGGCACTTTGGCCCGACGCCCCGCTTATGGGAGTGCCCCTCCGGCGCAGGAAGAGGAGGAGGAGAAGGAGGAGGAAGAGGAGGAGGAGGAGGAGGAGGAGGAAGAGGAGGAGGAGGAGGAGGAGGAGGAGGAGGAGGAAGAGGAGGGGGCGGCGGGGGACCCCGAAAACGCCCCGAAGTGACCCCAAACAACATCCGCGATAACTCCGACCCTTACCCCTGGCACGGCGGCGAGATGCCAGGCGGCAGCGCGAAGCACGCCATGCGTTCCTTCTCGCCAGAGGCTACAACTCACTCGCAGTAAGTCGTACCGCGTTTTTCTAAAAAGCCTGGCCGACGTCCATGGACGCGAGGACCCAGGGTTTCTTGCGCGAGGCGGTGCTAGCGAGTAGCCTCGGGCTAGATCGCCTGGTTGGAGCACCTCGTACCTATTGCCAGGCCGTGTAGTAAGCCCTGTGCATACAGCCTTTGGAGACTTCGACAAGGAACGCTTGGGCCCTTGTTTTCATGAGGAAGTCGCCCACTTTGAGGACCGCGGCCCTCTTTGGTGCAGCGGCCGCGAATGCTCGCATTGCGGTAGCGTGATCGCCATTCAGCACTCACTATTGCTGACCCGTCAGTCAAGACGGCCATGGGCATATTTGCTGCGAAGCATGGTTCTATACAGCCGGGAAAAGTTTTAACAGCATCGGCGAGAATACTATCTTAAATGATCTGCAGACGGCAACGCGCGAAGAGGATCATTCAGTGAGATTCGCCTTGCAAAGCTGGCAGCGTGCGCAGGCGCGCACACTGCGCATGGCCATAAAGGTGGCAACATCGGGAGGCGGACGCAACTTCGCGCCCAGGCGCTGTTCAAAACTTTAATACTTCATAAGGCCGGTGGCGTGGGCGGCTCCACGTTTTGCCTTGCGGCTTCGTTCTCGCAATCGGATGTCTAACATGCGCCGCGCAATGCGGACGAGACGCTCTTCCGTGACATTGACAGGCGGATGTCGCTTGATGCGACGGGCCCCGCCTGGTCTGATCCAACGTCGCTTCGGACCCCATCCCTATGCCACTGTTGTAAAACACTTTTTCACGGGGATGCTGAATTATGCCTAAGCGTTGGGTTTCCTGGGTCCCGTGGGACGCGTGAGACTTGTGCCCCTGTGGGTCTTTGGGCAACTTGTGGGGCCTGCGACGCATGCCGGACCTGGGCGACTTGCGGGATCGGCGGGTCTTGCGGGACTTGTGGGACCTGTGCGACCGGCGAGACTTGCGGGGTGTGTGGGGCCTGTAAGACCTGCGGGGCCTGTGCGAAACGCCGGTTAAGACCTGCGAGACCTGCGGGCCTTGCGGGGCCTGTAGGGCTCGTGGGGGCAGCGGGGCCTGTGCCACCTGAGGGACCTGCGGGGCCTGCAGGGCCCGTGGGGCCTGCGAGACCTGTGGGACCTGCGAGACCTGCGGGGCCTGCGATACTTGCGCGACCAATGAAGTCTGGGGAGCCTGCAGGACCGACGAAACAAGTGGGGCCTGCGGGGCGTCGCCCAACGAACCGCGTTGACGACCCGGCGGGGCGGGTTCCACTGCGCATGTCCACGCGAGGGGCGCAGTGTAGGCCCCCCGGCAATCCCACTCAGCGATCGGGCGGGCGCGGGCTTAGCGCGTGAGTTCTCCGACTGGCCCGCCCACCTTGCGACGCGGTCGCTGCCGCGCTTGGCGCGCGAGGAATAAAGCGAGAAGCGCCCATGGCGAAGTGGGAAAGATTTGCAATGACAAATAAATGCTGCATTTCTTAGATTCGAACAGCTCCACTTTACGTGCGATGCTTCCCGCCCTTCTTTTTCGCGCGCGAAACACGGAGCAACCAAATCGCAAAGTGGGCGCGCTGGGGCGCGCCGCTGCAGGCGACGCGCGCCCCACGTCTGACTTTGCGCGCAACGCCTGCCACCGCCCGATCGTTAAGTGGGGGCCCTGGGCCACGGGAAGCGCGCCCAGAGCGTGAAATTGCAAGGCGAGCCTGCGTCCGCCCGCGCCCAATCGTTTCGCAGTTGCGCCAGAGATCACGAATTCGCCGCTGCGAGCGGGTTCCCATAGTGAGCCCGCTCCCGCCCAATAGGGAGTTGCGCGAGACAGCGACGGGCGGGCACCGGGCCCCAGGCCCAGAACGCACACGTACCAGGAACGGCGGACGACGACGACGACCGCGGCGACGTCGACGACGACGACGACGACGACGACGACGACGACGACGACGACGACGACGACGACGACGACAGCGACTGCGGCGACCACGACGAAGACGACATGCGTTCCAGCCACCTTGCCGGCGACCTCTTAGCTCTCGCTCCTCCGCCGAGACATCATCGGCGTCCTCGCTCGCCTCCTCCCTCTAATCCTCCTGCCCCGCCTCCTCGCTTCCCTCCTCCTTCGCATCCCCATAATTTTCGCCCCTCGCCCCGCCCCCTGCCCTCCCGCGGGGGCCGCGACGGGCCGCGGCAACCGTCCGCGCTGCATGTTATTTGTCGGGGGCCGCGCGCCCCCCGTGCCATCTGCCCGGGCGGCAGAGGTCGCCGACGCTATGAGGCAGCGGCCGCTGCAACAGTTGGGGCGCGCCCAAACAGGTTCGACATCCACGCAGCGGGGACAAATGTTAAAAACAAAGTCGACAAGACGATCGTCTTGAATGATCTCCAGGCGGCAACGCCCGCAGAGGATCATTGAGTGGCCTGCGAGACCTGCGGGGCCTGCGAGACCTGCGGGGCCTGTGAGACTTGTGCAACCTGCGGGGCCTGGGGGACCTATGGGACTGACGAGGCCAATAGGACCTGCGGGGCGTTGTCCAACGAACCAGTTGACGATCCGGCGGGGGCGGGTTCTTTGGCGTAGATCCACGCGGGGCGCGGATTAGGTCCCCAGGCAATCCCACGCAACGAACGGGCGGGCGCGGGCCCAATGCAAAAACATATGCGCAGAACGCACGTCGCGCGAAATGGCGCGCCCCAGCGCGCCAACTTCACGATCCGATGTTTCCGCGTCTTTTGCGTGGGGAGATAAGCGCCCGTCGCGATGTGAACTTTGTTGTGCATGCACATTCAGAGATATACAAATGATAGAAAGAGAGAGAGAGAGAGAGGAGGGAGAGAGAGAGAGAGAAAAAAAAAGAGAGAGAGAGAGAGAGAAAGAGAGAAAGAGAGAGAGAGAGAGAGAGAAAGAGAGAAATATAAAAAACAGAAAAAACAAAAAACAAGCAATCCCTCTTTACGGTCGACG